GTCCTCGCTTCGATGAGGATTCCCAATCGATTTCGCCGTCTGTATCGTCTCCATCTCTCAACACATTCCCCTATCATCATTACCATGAAGTTAACCACGGTCAGATCAAATGATAGGATCGAAGCCCTTTTCGTCACCAACCCTTAATCATAGAGGAATATCCATCCGATAAGTTTCCAGAGTGTACCCAGCACCCGATACGGAGATGGTAGATTTGATCAAGCTGGCCTCGGCTGTTACAAAGAAGGGAGATGTAGATAAATATGCGCACCTTATGTGGTCCCGGTGTCTAGGCTCGCCTGGCTGGGGCTACAGGCTTTTTGAGACTTTTTCCCGCGCACGCAGTCTTCATTGCAACCTTTGTTAAATAAAATATTGCGAAGAAAATGAGGCTGAATTATATAGACAGACGCTGAGATGGATAGCCATTCGTTGCGAAAAATATATCAATGATCTTTCAAGTAAGAAAAGAGGCAAGGAGCACTGTACAAGGTGTGACCTGGGTCAGAAAGGAGCCAAATGTGCTAGAAAGTCTAAGACTCAAGTAGCACAATAAACACACCTCTATCTCTATTGTAATGCAGTTACGTCAGCCCCCTAATTACGACGATAATGACGTGCAGGTCCTCTGCCTATGGGCCAAGAATACCTTTCTAGTTTTATATTCCCTCCTATGCCTCCCATACAGCTCCCTTCAAACAGTACTACCCCTCACAAGTTCTCATTCGATCATACACTTAGAGGAGCTCTTTGTCCTTCGTTATCTCCCCTCTTCAGCCAACGAAACGATGGCCATTTACGGGTGTATGGAAGTCAGAAAAAATCTCAAAACCCACTGGATGCGGGGCTCTTCTAATCCCAACGTCGGGGTTAAATCAGTAAGAACATTGACCCTTCTGAAGAGTTCGAAGAAGCCAGCCAGCTGAGTGCTGCAGACTTTTTTTTTGGTTCATTAACGTGCTCGGTTAAGTGACCACCGTGGACTCCTACTAGAGCTTAAGCACGGGTGGGGCCGGGCTGGATCAGGTTAACTACCATTAAATCTACCTCGTCCCACCTCAGACTTCACCCATGTGTTGAATCATGTCAAGCCCAACCGTCCAGAGAACTCTCCTTTAACGCGCCGAAGTGCAAATTCCTTCTCAGCCTCGGCCACCACGCACCCGAGCCCTTGACATCCTCTTTGACTGCGAAATATAAATACCGACCAATATCTCATCGTTGCTCTAGCCTTGCATATTTATATCGTACCGTTGGGTTGTTGTCGTCATTGGGGATTTGTGTAATCTCATAGGTGTATCTTCCCTTTTTCTTCCTCCTTTGTACACGTCCTGTTTCCATTATGACTTTTGTTGAAAGTCATGCGATAAATCTGTAATTGTATCACGTGTCTCGCTTAGAATTCCACACTTTCCGTAATTGTAAAGTGTGTAGATAATTGTAAGAACAAGAAAAGGAGTACCAAGAGTTGTAGTTATAACACACACAATAAATTATATATATATTTATATTATAAGGAATCTGATTTCGAGAGCAAGTATCCACACGCAGCTGAATATATAGCTGGTATGCAGTATATTCTTAACTCCACTGTCGCATAAATATCAACAACTTTCATCATCAGGGCGTGTGTAGGTAGGTGATCGGACGAGTATGGAGGTGGGTTGTGTTGAAATTTGCGCTACTTGGCAATGAAGAGTGGCATTAATACGGAACGTAATAAGGTTCTATTATTACTAGCAACATTCATGACGACTCATACATTGACCAGCCTCCCAATTATTTAGCATAAACAAGTGAATCGTGTCCTTCATTTAGATGTAGTAATTAGTTTAAATTGCGCTCTGATACTAAGTGGGTTTAATCAACAACTCTCCACTACGGTTTTCAGACTCTTCAATTTTCCAAATCGCTTAACTAGGTGATATTAAACACAAGTCTAACAGCTTTAGCTTCTCTAAATAACTTCTATTACAACAGGTTGCAGGCGTAGAATCGGCAGAGAAATGGATCGTTGTAAATATAAAAGGAGTTTGAGAGATGTCGGATGTTTGAATATGACCCCCAGATAGACCTAAATCCATGCGTGAATCGTATGTTGGTGGTGATGAGTTTTTGTTCGACTTTATTCCGCCTGTGAAATCTCTGCTGACTAATATTTCGACCAAAATATCGAATACAACTCCTTCAAGTCGAAAATCCATCATTTAAAATTCATCCCACCCTTTTTCGTGACTGAATCGCGGTTCTGGGAGAAAATTTCACTCCCAGATTCGTAGAGGACACCACTGACAGGTGTTCAGCCTTCGTCCTCCGGAGCTGCAGACTTTTGGGTACTGTTGGAAATTCTGACTCTCCAATTTAGGACTCTACCACTATTTGTTTTGTCTCAGGTTCTTGACAAGATCGACTCTCTCTACACATGTCCTGAGTGCGTTGATCGCACCTACTGTTGCATATACCTTTAGATATTTACGTACTACAGTGTATCTTGGCTCATCATGGTAGATGAGAGGTGGCTAGTCATCACTAGGTTTGACAGGCACATGAGACTAGAATATCTCCCTTAGATGTGTATACAAGTCCAATGTTCTCATGGTTGTAAAATTAAATTATTCTTTACTTTATCACATATATCCATATAATATCGTACAGAGTATATTTCCCAACAGGTACCTCGGGAAATTCACCCTCTGCCTTTCTAGCCTCCTTCCAACTCCTTCCCGAAGGTCGTGCTGATATATCAGAAAATCTTGACAGTGTGATTGCTGTATGGTGGCTTAGCCCAACTTCTTCTGTGCCGTCCAGGGCGCTGGGGAGTGCCATTGACTCATTGACAAGAAAAGTCCTCCTGGCTAGTTAACCGAAATCTCGGTCTTGGCATCAGCAAACGTTCCGAAGCCGAAACATTTCGATAATATAAGTCCTATATTTCCTGTCGTAATATTCGGGAGGTATTTATATCACAAGCTATTTATGGCAGTAATAACAATTGGTGGTTATCATGTATCTTGATTCTTGTCTATTCTAAGTAAAGGAAACATGTATACATAGTAATTATCCCTTTCTTCTCACACCGGCACTAACTAGGCAACTCACTATTCATCAACATAATCTGTCATCATTTCTAAGATAATACATTGTGACGGCTTGTGAGCCGATAAGCCCTGTAGCCTTCGATGGCTATCGAAGGCAACCTATATTATCTATCACTCCGAGGATTATCAGCAGACGAAAACTGATATGAGATCGCCACTGAGGCTACGTAAAGGATAGTGCCAAGAGTATCGGAAGCGTTACCCGTGTGGCAGAACAAACCTTACGTCAGTTTCATTGCCACTGTAAACGTAGGCTAGATTTAGATACCTCTGGATGTGTATAAGTAGTAGAGGAGACTTGTAGGTAGTTTGCTTCGACATAGATGAATTATAGCTTTACCTTTCAATCATACAAACGCCCATTCGCTTTCTATATTCGAACTGTGACATACATGAAAGATCATCAAGTCACTGGTTTATTCGAAAGTTTCAATCAGAGATCTCTTCTCTAACTCATACCAAGTCTCAGCTATCTATCATCCCTCAAGTTGTAAAGCTTTATTAGAGCAATAGTCCCACACAAACCGTGACCCGAGCTTTATATGTTATGATTTAATTTCCTCTTTGCGGGTATACGTAGCATCGTAAATTTGGTAGTGGGCGATGGTCGGTAAATAATAAGGCAAGCTCTCGTTTGCAATTAGAGTAACTCCTTTATTAGTCGTCGAAGCGAGGTGGTTTGTGGTAATGAAGAGGTAAAATACTCCCGTGCGAATGACAAGTTCAACATTGATGAGAAGTCGTCGATTGTAGATTTGTTTGTGTTTGGTTTCAACTTAGTTTCGGATGCCATTCTTCTTGACCATCCTAGACACGCAGAACATAACAAGCGATTACACTGGTACCACTGGAAGGTGAACAATCTGTCTTTGCCGGCACTTGAGTGGGTAAATAGCATGAGCGCGAGGTATCGATTGGAGGAATCGTTTCCATCGTTAGCGTCAAAATCGGATAGTTTATTGCAATGACTCAATGTTGATAATAAGTCTTGTCGATCTACAAGGTTAACCCATCTTTAATATTAAACGTTAAAATTCCGATTTCTTTGTGAGCCACTTCTTCTTGGATAAGTTTCACACTTCATTGGGCGGAATATCCAACACGTGACAGCCTGTTTCTACCTACGGCTTCAACCTGAGACTGATAACACGAGGTGTATGGAACAGTCAATTACTTTCGTGTAACGAGGGGCTCGCTCTCATTCGTCGTTGAGAGCCAAGTTATGGTCAGTTCTACGATAAAGGCCTGATCCTTGATCTTCCTAAGGGAATATAATATCCCATTCATCACCGACTACTGAACCCAAGTACCTGAGAAACCGAACTTCGATGTTCCTAGCAAAGGTCATCACCCCATCACCGTTATCAGACATCCAAGCTTCAGAGAAAAAGTCACAACCAGATTCTCGCGTTAAGCGAGGCTGCTTAGCCCCGTAATCCTAAAGATAGATGAATAAACTGATGATAGCGTCTATCGCGGCGAATGCAGATTGAAGTCTTACAGTTTATCTAGAACTGCAGATTTACCAATAGCACATTACTAACCTGAGTCGCTTTTAGCAGATGGTATTGCCAACTCAAAAATCTCGAGCCAAATACAGGAAGACCACATATGTTGCAATTTCAACCAGCGGTATTTCTCGTTTTATGACCAGGCAGTTTACCATAGCTTGGCAACCTCTCCGTCATGCTCCACTCACCCAAGTTAGGAAATAAAGGATTTGGCGGCGATGGCGGTAGGAAGAAAATAACGGCAAAAACTGTGTTTAAAGATCCTACGTCTTTCGCCCTCATCATCACGCATCCGCTCATTCTCTTTCATTCTTTCCATCTTAACCCTCTTTTGTCGAGGAGCTGCCGTTCAAGCTCCACCCACTTTCATTAACAACGTCACAGCTGCAAGATGCGACTTCTCGGAACTCTCGCAACCGTCCCCTTCGTCTTCTCGGTATACGTCGCTGGGGAACATGGGTATCTCTGCTCGGATGCTGAAGGAACAACAAACACAACATATAATCAAGCTCTCGTGGAGAAAAGTGTGACGGATGCATGTCTTCCAGACAGCGAGCTGTCCGCGGCCGAACTCGCGGCAAACGCCGAGGCGAAGAAGTATCCTCAGGTCTGGGTTGACTCGGAAGATTATGGCTTCAATGAGACCGTTTTACTCTGGAAATACCAAGGAAATAGCTCTGAGTCTCTAGGTAATACGCAACCAAACTTACAGCTCTATTTGGAGGCGCACAAATCCCTGGCAGCCCGTAACTAATCATCATGCAGAAGAGCTTAATGTCCTTGTTTTTACCAACAAATCCTGTAATATTTTGGGATTATTACAGGTATCTAGTGACCAGTATGCGATCTGCAGAAATAACAATGAACAAAATGACAAGAAAACAAGCCCGGAGATCTTGTCTAAAAAGCCTCGGCCAGGTATTTTCGTTAAAAAGGGGGATAGATACTGCGCTGATGGCTCAACTGCGGAAAAAGCAATAACTATTCATCCTGAACATACAAGTGAATGGGGCAGCAAGCATAATAATTATGAGGATTCAAATACTGATAGCGAATTCCTACAAAATTTTAGAAGAACCCGCAAACCAATGTTGTCGTGTCTTGAGAGTTCTGTCTTCGGAGAAGGCTATGGACAGTGTAGCGATATAGTAAATGCCACACCCAACCCTGAATCAGGGGTTTGGGGGTCACATATTGCTACGTTGGACGATCATCACAACTATAGACAACGAAGCGGAGGATCTGAACACCATCAATCTTCACCTCAAAGCCGATCTATCCTGTCGTATTTTTATTCGGGAAATTCGAAAAAAAAAGGTACTCGAAAGGGCTCTTATGATCTTCCTACTTATAATACTCCGAGATCAGACTCATCTGGAAACTCGAATATGGAGAGATATCATGAAGTTACACCAGATGAATACAAAGACTTGGAAAAAGGGGCACAGTATGCCCCATCTTATTATAGTGGATAAGGGCAAAAAGATCTGGCCTACAATAATTTTAGAAGCAGTTGAAACTAAATGGATACTTCCTGTAACTATTTAGATTTTTTTTTACTTTTTCTAGGATCTGATGAGACTTATGTATACGACAATATTGTGTACCGTGTAAGCAAATGTCAGGCTCGTTGGCTAGTTCGGAGGTCAAGGGTCGGAACAGGACGGAGTCGGGACGGATGTAGTCGGGACGGAATGTGATCGGAACAGGATGTGATCGGAACGGGACGAGGGCGAGACAAGACGGAGACGGAACGTGACGGAGGCGGAACGGGACGGAGGCGGAACGGGACAGAGTCGGGGTATAAGGTAAAGCTTATAATAATCGGATCAATCTAAAGTCTAGAATAATTACGAGACAAAAAGCTACAGAACAAATCCAGTCCTAGACCTTCCTTAAGTACTCAAGAGCGGCTACTACAATCAGGGGTATGGTAGTCTACAGCTATAACACAGCAACTGATTGCTTATGTTGATTAGTAACTGTTGCTATCATAACATTATAACCATCGCAACGCATTGACTATGTTACTAGGGAAGTTCCTGACTTGGTTGACCAGACTAAGCGCAGCATCTCAGCATTAGCCCATGGCACAATGGTAGTGACAAGCAGGCCGTTTTCCTCGTGGGGAAAGCCGGTCTGTGACAGCAAACGTGGCCGTGGGATATTAGCATAAACTCTTGGGTCAAAATGCTGGATGTTCTAGATAAGTATAGACCTATGAACCCAATAAAAAATCATATGCCGGGTTCTCCTATCATATAAGGAAATTGTTAAACTGTCCTTTGCAGCTATTGATGGTGACATGAATTAAGATGATGATTGTGATTGAGATAGATTTCTATATAGTTTATAATACATGATATGCTCAGGCTCATATACCTCGAGCCAAGCAACCAGATTATGTTCCTCTAGATCTAGATTCATCGGAATAATTACTTACTCAGTAAAATTCTCTTAGTCTCAGTTGTGTGTTTAGGATCTTGATTAGGTTTCTAGTAACTAGTCAATGATGTTTCTCATATCACTGAGACATAGTTATGGTTGATACAACAGGTACAAACGATGAGTCGTGTCTGTACATGACGTTGTGATATAGTCATGATCGTCTGAACAATATCAACTCATGAATGAATCATGTCTCTACATGACATATCAGGAGCAGCATACATATTTGTATCTAAAGCATTGTTATAGATGTTGAAGGGAGTTAGTGTGCATGAGATTGAGTGAGGGTATGAGGGTAAAATGAACTAGCTGTCGTCAGTTGTTGTGATCTGGGAATTGCATAGAATTATTTATATATACCTGCATAAACTTTATGCTATGGCGCTTAATAAGGATGTTATTGTAGACTGCTGGACAAACAGGAATAGTCGCGCTATGATCGGTGGGATTAGTAGGCTGTGAACCTGCAAGGGTGATAGGAGGGTAGTTTAGGTGTGGTCCGCAGTATATTGAGTTGTGAGCACACAACGATCTTCCGTCTGTACATCTTTCTATCTTCTAGCACATGATAAAGTGCGAAGAATCTTTTCTAGTATCTATAATCAATTATCTACAAGCGCAGTATTTATAGACCTTACTCCATTTACATACAAGTAGCATACTCAGTATTGAACCCCTAGGTGACCTCATTTCATAAAAGGTTATGAGCCCGGGAGCGCTCTTGATTAACAGATCATATGAAAAGAAAGCATCTATTATGACACGCTGATTATAGCAAGCAAGAACTCAAGGTTTAAAAGTTAATACAGCTAAAGAGCAAAGCTCTATCTACAAACTACATAGATAATTAGATTTAAGCGAGTAGTAATGACTTTGCCGCCAGTGCTTCCATAACGCCAAACCTCCGTGGGTATCCCAATCAAACTCCATATGTGTTGTGATGGGCATGTTATACAGCTAGGATACTTGCATGTACATAACGTGATTAGATGTTTACGCTGTTTGTGTAGTTCCTGTATCGTTTGGGATATCTGCAGGAGGAAGCTCATGTGGTCAGGAGTCGACTAGCAGCCGCACATGAGTATAAGTAGCGAGTGCTCGGCACACAATTAGTATAGAACAATTAAAATACGATGAACCTCAGATACACCTTCAACCACGACCTGAACTCATCAATCTACATACTCGTACAAGGTCAGCATGCATAGTGACACTAACCTAAGCTCATAATCACAATAATATCTCTATACTAGATCCCTAGTCACTTAAAGCATGTCGCCATAAGAACCCCTAGTTATCCTCAGCTCGGGAATCGAAATATATGAGTGGATATCAAATGTTCAATCTACACTTGTCAACAATGACTGTCTGGGACACGTCTTTCACAATGTCTCCGGATTCGAACCAGTAGAATGTCCGACAGCGCCTACTCAAACCAATCAGACAAATGAAGAATTCGACACCTTAATGAAAGAATATAAGGCGAAATTAAAATGTTTCAACAGGGGCAAAATAAGTTCCAGAAACATTTTATTCAGTCGAATTGCCAAGGAAGTCAGGCCAAGAAATTTCATGAACATGACCACCAAGCAGTTATTTGATCACGTCTCCAATGCTCGAGGAGAAGGGGCTACCACACCCTATGAGATAGCAGTTCGAAGACTATTTGCGACTAAACTCACTTCAAAAATTGACAAATACTGCAACGAATTCATGCAGAATTATCTTGATGTGAACAGTGCTGCAGAATCTGTGAGGCCCAGGAATTTGGACAGCTCAAAGGAAGAAAACAAGGACATGTTTATCTTGACGCCAGACCTTGCAGGACTCATGTCCATAATGGGCACAGAAGATGTTGAATGGCTCGACACTTGGCGTCAGGTAAAATTTTACGACAGCGAAAATAAGTACGTCAGGTAGATGTCATGATGTTAACTCTCCGTTAAATGAACAAAGGGAAACATCCATAAGCTGGTAGTCATGCACAGGCTGCGGTCATGAATGAAAAAGAAAGAACTGAAGATTATAACCACGAAGAAGAGGATATTGTGGCTCCTCGAAACGATCATTGTAGAATATATAAGCGTAAGCATAAGAATCGGAATTGTTTTAAGCAACACCCTGAATTAAAAAGAAATACCCAGGGATATGAAAATATATGGAATAAACAGGCACACAGGGGCAGTGCAAAAGCTGTAACCCATCACGATGGCTTATCAGATAGTGACAATAGTGATGATTTATGTATTAATATTAGTTTAGGCACTGTAGCAAGTGCAGCTACTAAATTAAGTAACCGTCAACTTTATAACACTGGTGCATCACACCACTTTGTGAAATCAGAATCTCACTTTAATGTCCTTAAAGTATTACCAAAGCCATTTGAATTTGATCAAGTGGAAGGAAAATACCGATTAACACACAGAGGCACCTGCCCTACCAAAGTTGGCTGATTAAATCTTGATTTAAAGAATTGCCTTTTTTCACCAAGCTCTGCCTGCAATATAGTCTCAGCTGTCAGGCTAAAGAGGGATTATGGATTAGTTGCTTCAAACCCATAATCAACTCCTAATTCGTATTAAAGAGGACTCGTCCGAAGAGCCTGTAGCAAAACTTGTGGCGAAAGAAGGAGTTTTATTTATACAACCTATAGACTCAAGCTATGAAAGCCGTGCGCAATATTGTGGCACCTGGGGTAGCAAGGACTCATAGAATTAGTAGCACGCGAAGATGGCATCAAAGACCTGGTCATATTGGACAAGATATATTGAAGAACACGGCTAGATTTTCGCAAGGGCTAGAAGATATCAATAAATCCGAGCTTACGATTTGCGAAACATGTCATTTAAGCAAGGTGCAAAGATTTGTTTCTCGGGAATCACGACCAATGCCAAATGACCCGCTAGACGACGTGTTTATTGATACGGTTGGAAAGCCAGCTGAATCCCTCAACGGTTATCATCATGCAGTTATTCTAACTGATGCTAAAACTAGAATGCTTTGAGTACTGATGATAAATGCAAAGAACGAGATTGCATCACATCTTTTAAATTGGATAGAAAATCAGTATAACCAATATGGAAGAAGAGATAGAATCATCTTGAAGGATGGAGGCTCTGAGTTTGTTCGCATTAAAGAGTACTACGATAAGAATGGAATCCGCACAAATGTATCTTCGCCGCATACGCCTGAGCAAAATGGAGTTGCTGAAGCTGCAAACAAAGTATTGTTGATGAGAGCTCGTTCATTGTTAATTGACGCTGGAATGCCACCTAATTTGTGGCCATAAGCACTTAAGCATTCATGCTTTATCACCAACAGACTTTACTGTTTACAGACAAAGAAAGTTCCAATAATTGATTCCCTTCAAGGCCTTGGCCAGCCATTTCATGATAAAATTGACTTCACGTTATTACTTCGCTTTGGATGCAGAGCGTATAAAGTAATACAGCCCAAACCCGGAAAATTCGAAGCACGTGCACAACAAGGATGACCCATGGGATTTCAAAAAAAAAAAAATCTTTCTAATCTACCATCCTCATTGGACGCCAACACAGGGGTGGAAGAGGATAGAAAGCTTCACGCCTCGCGCAACTTTTAATAAAGATGTCATGTTTTGTCACGGACAAAGGCGAGGACGAGGACGAAGACAGAGGCTGATAATGAAGAGAAGATATTCAGATTAATAATTAGATTCTAAAATATGAGCAATTTACAAGACAAAAAGCTACGGTCCAAATCTAGTCCTAGAGCATCCTTTAGTACACGAGCATTAATCCTATAACCAAGGGTGTAGTAGTCCACAGCCATAACACAGCAACTATCTAGTGCTCCGAACGGCAACTGTTGCTATCACAACGCTGTAATCATTACAATTCCTAAATCATGTTTAAACGCACGTCATTAATCGGTTGCCTGGGTGCGACGCGACTTCCCAGAGATGGTTTGTGACATGTTTGGAGATATGCTAAGTCCAGCAGACCAACATAATGTTTTCAATAATTGGACAAGCAGCTCTACCTCCTCC